GCAGATCTGTGTCTAATTCTGTCTTCCATGTTGTACCTAGCACATTGGTGGTGCTTAAATGTTAATAAAACAGCAATGTATGTTAAGTATCAGATGTCCTAGATGCTGAGTGGTGATAAGCCTTATTGACATAGGTAGATAAGTAAATTATAAATAGTAGGAAAATTAGCTTTAATTGAAGTTAAATGATAGCTTAGAAGTTGACACTGAATTAGTCATTTTGTTGGTGGATAAGACATACAATTATGCTTTACCTGAGGGGATTGGTATAATTCAGTATCACAGTAGAACACTCAGAGAAAAAAGAGCTCGGTTTGCAGCTGGAATTCCCAGATCTCTGGCTATGAGATCTGGCTGAGGGGTTCATGTCCAGTGCCCATGGCTGTGGAAGGCCCTCTTCTAGCTTCTCACCTCCCCCATGGGGCAAGGAGTTCTATACTCTCTGAGCCCCTGGGACCCTGGACCATCCAGGCCTCATTCTCCAAGGCTAGACCCTGGCCTGAGGAATCACCAAGGGGTAGCTTTTGTGAGGAGTGTGATGCAGTGTAGACATGTGGGCTGGGTGATCCTCATGTGTGAGCCTTTCCATGGGATGGAATGAAGCTGAGATGGGAAGAAAAGGGAGTTCAAGTTGCAGGCCAGAAGCAAGTACTCCCTAGTTAATTTGTGGCTTTATGATCTTTATGATGGGGTACATGGATATCCATTTGTTAGATTGCTCCAGACTCTTCTAAAGTTAAAGGCAGGCCTTGAACTAGGGCAAGTCACGTAGCCTATTTGGGTGTCAGTTTCCTCATCTATAAACAAGATGACAATAACTGTTCCACTAACCTCAAAGAACTGGGATGATAAGAATGATCTTAAAAATAACTACCATTTGTTGAGTTAATACTATGGTTTAAGCACTATGCAAGGCAATTTGCATGCATTATATTGGATTCTCACAAATCTTCAGGGTATGCATTTTTTCCCCTCTTTTTATAGAACAGGAAACAGGCTCAGGGAAGTTAAGTTTCCTCTCCCAGCCTTCTTTCCCTCACCAGGGACACAAGCAAGATAATATACATAATAATCTCATACAAAGTAACACAATAGTTACTAATTCATTTATCCATTTAATACGTATCTGTTGACTGCCTATCATGTGTTGAGGATATAGCAGTGAACAAAAGGAACAAACAACTGACTTCAGAAACTTACATTACAGTACAGAAAGAAAAAAAATAAATAAGTATAGATGGTCTCTGATTTATGATGGTTTGATTTTCAATTTTTCCACTTTATGATGGGTTTATTGGGACATAACCCCAATGTAAGTTGAGGAGCATCTGTATAATATATAGTATGTTAGATGATGGTAAATAAAGCAAGGAAGAAAACTGGGGTGTGTGGAGTTACAGGGAAGGTGACATTTAAATAAAGATATGATGAAGGTGAGGGATAACATTATAATTTTTTGGTTGTTTTTATGAATCTTTATTTTATTTCTTTATTTTTTGGTGGTTGCAAGTGGGGTGGAAAGAGGTGGAGGGGTGGGGAGGAGCGGTGAGATAATCCAGGCATTAGAGGGAACAGAAGATGGAAAGGCCATGAGCCTCGTATTTGCTTATTGCTCCAGAAACATCATGGAGACTACCATGTCTGGGAAAATGAGTAGGGAATAGGGGAGTGGGAGATGAGGTCAGAGAGATAAAGAAGGGGGACCAGGTCCATAGGTCATTCAGGCCATGGGAGGGACCTTGGCTTTTACCTTGAGTTACATGGGGAGCTAAGCAGAAGAATGATGTGAACAGGAATGAAAGGAACTACTATGGCTGCTGTGTTGAAAGTGGACTACAGGAGGCAAGGGCAGAAACAGAGAGACCAAGCAGGTAGTTATTGCAAAGGGCCGGCAAAAGATGTTGCTGGATTGGACCAGGTCATGGCAGTAGAGGTGGTAGACAGAGGTTAGAGTCCACATATGGCATTTTGAAGGCTGAACTGACAGGTGTTACTGCCTCTTGCGGGGTATAAGAGAATGAAAGGAGTCAAGAAAGACTCCAAAGTTTTTCACCTGGGTGATGTGAATGGTGCAGATGTCATTAACTGGGATGGGGAAGGCTGTGGGTGGAGCATGTTTGAGGCAGGAGATCTGGAGCCTGGTTTGCACATGTTAATTCTGAGATGTCTATTAGACACCAGGTGGAGATGTCAGGTACATTGTTTCACTTCATTGGGTTTGAATTCTTTTATCCGTCTCTCTTCTTTTTACAGAGCTATATTGGCACTTATTCATGTTCCTTTGCTTTGAAGGTGGTGGTCTATGTCATAGACAATTTGATGTTGGGGCTCAACTAAAAGGGGAAAGTAGTTCCAGCAGGAGAAATAGAAAAGGTTCCATAGGTACCATTTATAACTTAGATTCAGTTTCACAAGGTTGGGCAGGGACAGTCCCTTCTCTAGGAAGCCACACAAGCTGTTTAGTGCCACACAGGTGATTTAAGGACCTCAAAATGTTAGCTCTGCGGTCCCTAACCCCCGGGCTGCGGAGTGGTACGGGTTGTGGCCTGTTTGGCCTGTTAGGCACCGGACGACACAGCAGGAAGTGAGCAGGAGGGCAGGCAGGAGAGCCAGGGAAGCTTCGTTAGTATTTATAGTCACTGTCTCCCATCACCCCCAGATGGAACAGTCTTGTTGCAGGAAAACAAGCCCAGGGCTCCCACTGAGTCTGCATTATGGTGAGTTGTATAATTATTTCATTATATGTTACAACGTAATAATAGAAATAAAGTGCACAATAAATGTAATGCACTTGAACCATCCTGAAACCATCCCTTCCTTCTCTCCCCAGTCCATGGAAAAATTGTCTTCCATGAAACTGGTCCCTGGTGCCAAAAAGGTTGGGGACTGCTGTGTTAGCTGATAACCTATTCCTAATGTTTAAAATAAACTAGAAGTTGCAAAAGCATGTTTGAAAATCTGGAAAAAGTTCAATGTAGTAGCTCATAAATTAACAATCTTCCTCTTAGACTCCATACAGACATCAAAACATGAACTTGTGTGCATATATGGCATACAAAAATAAAACTCTGGGACCAGAACAGTAGTGTAGTCCCCGATGCTTGGCTAGCGACCTTTCTGCTTTTGGGTTGACCTTACACACCTAGACCTGGCTCAGGGAGGCAGTAGTAATACCTTAAAGGACTCATTAAGATCTCTGCAACAAATGAGTCTGGCTTGGAAATCTGGGATCTAGAGGTTTGCTAAGGCAAAGCCAGATCTACCAATAAATGTTTCTGATTATGTCACAGAACTTGTCACCTTGGACTATCTATAAAATCTGGCATGTTTATGTGTCTGGGGGAGGTATTGGGTCTGGTGTTGAAACCTATCTCCTTAATTTCGTGGTCATTTTAGTGTCTGAAGGTGCCAGAGTGGGCACGGAAGGCATAAGAGGGTGCAGTAAATTACAAATAAGCAAAATAAACCCTAACAGGATTTATCGCCACGGAAGTAACTCGGGGCCAACGGCCCACGCTTGCGGGCCGGACTTCTGCCGCTGGTTAACTTTCAGCCCGGGGCGGCGGCGTGGCGCCAAGGGCAGTCTGAGGGAGGCGACCCCAAGTTGCTGGCTCCTGCCCCGGGTGTGGGCAGGGGGCTCGGCGTGAGACAGCGGGAGGGGACTGGGGAGGAGAGCCCTGCGCTTCTCGCCTGGGCGCCAGGACTCGCGCCCGCTCCTCGGGGCCAGGCCGGCTCGGCCGTGGGCTCTGCGCCTCCCCGCGGCCCGAGCGCCGGCTCACCTGGCCGCCGGCGAAGGTGCCGCTCCCGAGCGAGGGCGCGGCCGGCGGGCCCGCACGGGGAGCGCCAGGGGGCGGGACCGGCGCGACGGGCCGCCCCGCCCCCGATGATGCGGCGGCCGCCGACTGGCCCCCGCCTTGTCACTCACTCCTCACCATGGTTGCAGCACAAAGCAACAAGCCCCGGAGGCCGCTTCCTCCCTGAGGAGCGGCTCGGGCGGCCGGAGAAGGCGCAGAAGGAAGAGGCGGAGGAAGAGGAGGGGAATCGCCGCTTCCCAAACACGCTCTGCGAGGGGGCTGTGCGCGGCGCTCGGCTCTCGGCCCTCGGACGCCCGGCGCCGGGAGTCCGGACCTGGGCTGCCCGCGGCCCCTCTTCCCCTCCCCCGCCCGCGCAGACGAGGAACAAAGTTGCGGAGAGCGCCCGGGCCGGAGGGCTGCAGCGCGGGCCGGCTGCTCTGGCCGCGGCGGCGCGGGCGCCGGGGCAGCTCCGCTCCGGGCGCGCTGATGGGGGGAGGCGGCGGCGGCGGAGCCCACGGCGGCGGCCCGAGCAGCAGAGGCGGCGGCGGCGGCGGCGCGGCGGCCCGAGGGGATGCAGCAGCAGTCGGGAGGGACGGCCGATCGCAGTAGACGCAGCCCAGGAGCGGCGGCGACGGTGGCCGAGGCGATCGCGCTTCGCAGCGCCCGTACCTGAGCGAGACCCACCCGGTCCGTCCTCGCGATCGGCGGCCGCGGCGCCCAAGTGCCCGAGGACTGGGGACGCGGGAGACCCGAGCGCTTCCCGGAGACCCCTGGGCGGCGGCGCGAGCTCCTGAGAGGAGGGGGCGACCCTCGGAGAAGGGGGGAGAGGAGGCTCCGCCTGCTGCAGCCCTCCCCCTCCGCACTGCCACTCGTACCTCCCTAAAAATAACTCGGGCCTGCTGGGACCAGGAGGAGCCGCTACTGTCCCCCGAGTGGAGCCGGGGGAGGCGTGTCGAGCCAGGGCCCGGAGGGAGCCGGCCGAGCGGCGAGAGGAAGAGGAGGAGGAGGAAGGGGAGCTCCCCGCGGCCGAGCGCGCCGCAGGCTCGGGGCCGCAGGGACACTCTCCGCCGCTGGTCTCCGGAGCGGCGCGCCACGGGCGCCTGTCCCGCGCTCGGGGCCGCCGGGCCCAGCCGCGCCGCCCCCCCCGCGGGCCCCGCGCCGCCGCCGCCGCGCGGTTTGGCTTATTAGCCTCGGGCGGGCGGAGCGCGCAGGGCGGAGGCAGCGGCTGCGCCGGGCTGGGAGGAGGCCGGCGAGGGTGCGGAGCGGCCCCGGTTCGGCCCGCGGCGGGAGATGGCGTCCTACGTGGATAACAGCTTCCGCCAAGCGGTGATGAAGAACCCCGCCGAGAGGACCCCCCAGGTGAGAACCGCCGCCCCCTGCACTTGGCCGCATTTGCATCTCGCGGACTGCGCCTTCCCCTGTCCCCCCCCACTCCTTTCCTGACACAGTTCACCCCGAGCACCCCAATTCTATCAGGACCCCCAACTTCCAGCGGCATCCCACCTCCGAGTCTTTTGCTGGCCGTCCCGGTTTTATTTTTCCCTGCCTTTGATATTCTTCTCCTCCTTTATTCCCCTCCCCATTGCTGACCTTCCCCCTACATTCGCCGGGCGGGGTGTGTGTGTGGCGGGGGGGGGGGATACTCTAATTAGCTTTCCCTCTCCCCCAGCCGCTGTCTGAACCTCAGGGGGTGAGGTCTCACCTCCCGGCAGCCAGCCAGTGTTGCCCCCTGACTGCAGGTCCCTTCCTCCCCTTGCGTGTGACCCTTCTGTCTTTAGAGTTCGTGGTGTTTGCAAGGGTACAGGAGGAAACTTGCGTGATTGTTCGAAAGACAAAATCCATGTGGGCCTTCCAAAGGAAAACATTGAGATGTTTGTATAGTCACTATTTGCTTTTTTTGAAAAACGGATGCTGCTTTCCATTGACGGGGAAAAGAAGTTGAATAGCTAGGCTAGTGCTTTTAGTTTCAATTGCAGACATAACTTTAGAGCAGGCGTATTCAAATGCACTCACGGGAAGGGCACCCTGCGGATTCTTTTGGTGTTGCACAACCTTGTCAAAATTAGATAAGTTTGTTAACCTTTATACATTTGTTTAGCTTCAGGCTTATTCGTACTTTAAGTGGAGGAATTGCTGATGGGGTCGGATTTGGTCGTTTCAAGTTGGACTAGAGAGGGTGAAATTTTATAAAAATGTGGTTTGATTTTCTTTGCTTTTAGTTGCTGACTGGATAATGACGCATATTCTTAAGCATTGGGTTGGTGACTACAGGGGATCCAGCTTGCCAACCCTCTTAAGACAAATAAGCCCTCCTGATCCTTGGGACCATCAGACATTTAGGACCTAATGCTTGGAAGAGTTGCTTTGCTTGTTAGGTGTTGGATGCCATCTGTTCAAATCCAAATGCTCTCGTTCTCTGACGTTGATTATTATTATTTAATGTGAGGAGAACAGAATAAAATAGAATCTTCCACTGGCTGCCATTGGACAAGCCCCAAGAATGACACCTGGTACTGTTTTTGATTTTTCATTTTCCCTGATGGAGCTGTCACATCTGGGGTATTGTGGATAGGTTGCACATGTTTATCAAATGTGTGAAGATGGGCAGCAATTTTACAAGAAAACTTATTTCAGTGTGCCTGGAAAGTTTCTATTCTAAAAGACTATTTTTATCACAAGCAAGGAATGTCCTGCTTTGATCTAGTCTTTCCCTTGGTGTTGCACTGACTCTCCTGTGCCTTCCTCATCTACTGTTTGTTTAAACTTGTCAGTTGAATCAGAGTCTTCTGCATCTGAAAATGCACGTTCCCAGCCTCAGTGTGAAGGAAAAGCAGATTTCAGTGAAATACTTCAGTACCTTTCAAAAATACTGTTCGAAGTGCCAAGTGAGATTACACATGCTGGGAATGTTAGATCCTGAGCAAGGCTGGTCAGAAAATGATGCTGCGGGCCTTTGGTTGATTAGTTAGAAGAATAGCAGTGACTGAAACCTACGGGTCAGGTGTGGGTGGGTGGGTCACCACATACTGGAGGAGACAAAACCTCTTCTGTGACAGTGTGGGGATGGTGCCACATAAATGAACTGTTAAACTTTGCTGTTCCCCTGCCAGTTGTGTGTTGAATAGGATAAAAACTGACCCAACATAGAACTTGGCCTGAGTCAGAAGTTAAGTGGGCTGATTGCTACTAACACCACACGTGAAAGCTCCATTGACAATCTGAAATCAGCACATTTACTCCACCAAACCTTCATAGAGAAACTTACCAAACATTTTGAACATTCCTAAGTGTCAGCTCTATTAACTTGGACGTTATTACTAAACCCACACGTTTATTTGTTGTTTTAAAGAGAAAGTAGTTTGAAATGTGAATGTTTTCATCTTTACCTGATTTGTCAGAAATAATCTATCTTATAAAAGTTTGAAATTTACTCAAAAGTAAAAAAAGAATTCTTTTGTAGTAGGTGCTTTTTATATTAGCAGTACTTTGTAAATACAACGCTGGAAAATTTTCCCTATAGTCTTTTCTCATGAATGTAAAAGTTAGAATTCTGTAATATAAGACAAGCAACCTTGTTAAATTAAGCTTGATATCATGAACAGAAGGACGTGAATTAGGAAAGTTTTGCTGTCCTGCTTCCTTCTGTTTCTGAGGATAGATTTGACAAAGGAGTTTGTGTGATTCTCATTATAGGCGAAAAGAAAGAGCTTGAAAAGGATAGAGGAAAATATATAAATTTTTTTGCTAAATTCAATTTTTCTTTCTCTTTTTTAATTTCTGCCAGCCCAGTTCCTCTCCCAAACTCTGTGAAGACATAGTTTTGTAGTCAATCAATTGCCTACAGTTAATCCTGATGTCACTAATGTAACCCAAGTAGTTGGCTAGAAGCGAATCTGAGGTGAGAAGAGCCCCAGGAACTTTAATCAATTGGGAACTTTTCATGCCCACTTGGAAAATGGGAACTCTTTTTATTTAGACATGTCATTAGAGAGGGGAAATAGGAGAAATACCAAAAGAAATTGTTATCCAAATTTTTAGCCATATCATGCATATTCAGATTCAAGAGGCTGTCACTATTTCACCTGATATTCTGAGTATTCTGAGAGGAGGAAAAAAGTCTTCTTTAATCCAATGTGTGTCTCATATTGTCTGGAAACCTGGCTGAGTGCTAGTCAATGAGGCACTGTATTCTAAATAACAAACCCCTTTGAAAATAATGAGCACTAAACATTCTACTGTTATTTTTCTGGGCACCTCTGTTGAAAAACAGGACTCTTAAGTAATTGCTCTATTTAACTATTTGGGTTTGTGTCTTTAATCATTTAAATGAGAAGCTTGGTCACCAAAGCAACTCGGTGAAGTAAAAGACATAAATAAATTACAAACAGCTTTACCCCCCAAGGCTTATACAATAAAATGATTTTTCTAAACCATTTTATTGACTTACTGAGTTCAGGCCCTTTGAAGTTGCTTCTGTAAAGCATTTAAATGCATAATGTTTTTAGTTTTTCAGGTGAAACATCTATGGCAAAATTGTTTCTTCTTCTTTAAAGACCTAATTTAGTGTATTTGTAGATAATTGTAAAAGTTACTTTAAAAAATGGTATGTGTAAAATAACCCCCACCTCATCTCCTCCTAATTAATAATCTTACTTTGTCTGATAGCTTATACTTTGATTTATATTTTGGAGCATTTTTGGGCTCTGGTAATATTTGTTTCTTAAGTAATTTTTGTTGGTAAAACACAACTGAACTGTCTGTATGCAAATGTAAAAGCATGTCTTACAAAGAAATGATTGGCTACAGGCATTTAGATTTCATAATAATGATATTTGGATATGTTGGTTAAAAATACATTTATAACTGAAATATTAATTTCAAACTGTATTAGCATGTGACTTTAAACAAGTAAGGACCTAAATTTATGGTAAAATTATTAACATTCTTTTGCAATACTAGTGGAAGCTTAGTTGCCTTCAAATAACCTTTTAAACATTTAGTAATTAACAGTTCCATAATTAGCTTTGCATATCTTGGCTGAGGTTCAAAATGAAAATCTCTCCAACTGCAGTGCTGTGTGCAGATATTAGTTTAATGCAGTCACAGTCTTTCCCAAACCCTGGAATTTCAGAGAACAGTTAAAAAAAAAAAAAAAAAGACTATGTTGTTGCTAACATTTTGCTTTTGTTCCCCTCAAGTAAGAACATAAAATAAAAATAAAACTAGTTAAAACCTTCTATCACTATTATTTAATCTCACTGTCTCTAAGGAAGGATGCTCTATCACTCCAAAATTCAGTCTTGAAATAAAATATTCATTGCTTCATAAGAAACCTTAGTATGCCTTTTTTCTTTTTTAATTTTACTTTGAACCTGAAAAAAAAACTTTATCTGGGTAGATTTTGGGTGATTTAAACTATCAAAATCTGTCTTTCTTTGGTGATACTTGAAATTTAAATAGCATAAAGTTGTAGTGGGATATGCCTCGGATATAAATCTATTATCTGAAATAATGATCTGATAACCTTTAGAAACACAGAAAGACTCTGCTTCTGCTTGACTCGGGTGAAAATTAACTTCAAAAATTTTGTTTCTTGTCTTATAAATTTTATGCAGAGGTAACTTTGGTCTAGACTAGGGAGATACGGAGACTGCCGATAGTCGATGGTCCTTTGATATCTGCATTTTATGGGATATTCCTTCTCTTTGCCCCATTTTTGGTAACCATTTTCTTGTTTGTAAAATGATGTTTGGTTTCTGAGGTTGTTTTGCAGATTAAATGAAAGTACATTAACTATTCAGTGCAAAGCGTGTTGATAGTTCTTACTGTAGCACATTTTAATAAAATATTATTTACCAGGCTTTGGGAATTCAAAGATGATGTGAGATGTGTGTCCCTCAAGTAACTCACCCATCTGTCTTATAAGCAGGCTGTGATTCGTTAGTGCTGTCATGCGGGTCCTATCCTATGACAGCACTGAAGAGGAGGTGGACTTTCTATATACGAATGTGTTTCGAGTTGTAGGGGAGTCCACTGGTGGACTAAGGGACATGAAGGATATTGCAGATTGACCTACTATCATATGAGTAGCACATGTGAGGAACACATGTGTAGACCTTTCTTCAGTGTGCTTGGAGCCAAGGGGTTGGCTGGGGGATGGACTCCACTGAGTATAGAAGCTTGTGGTTTAGAGAGGAGTGGAAAGAGACCAATTCTGTTAAGGGCTGACGTTTATTCTCCAAGCTTGAGATAATTGGGAGCCTGAATTACGCTGTGGAGATGGATTAGAAATACTACAGGAGTAGAATCTGCTGGACAGGCCAGTTGAATGTGTGCACATCTGTATCAACTACTCATTA